TAGGGTTCCTTTAAGGGTTTAAGGTTCAGGGATGTTTAGGGTTTAGGGTTCCTTTAAGGGTTTAAGGTTTAGGGATGTTTAGGGTTTAGGGTTCCTTTAAGGGTTTAAGGTTTAGGGATGTTTAGGGTTTAGGGTTCGTTGTAGGGTTTAGGATTTAGGGTTCCTCAAGGGTTCCTTTAAAGGATCCTTTTCAGCGTTCAAGGGCTCCTTTAAGGATCCCTTCAGGGGTTGAAAGGGCTTAGGCGTCAGGGAATACACCTTAGGGTTCAGGGTTTAGGGTTTACGGGCTTAGGTTTAGGGTTTAGGCATAGTAGAATTTAGGGTTCAGGGTTGCCAGAGGGTTCAAGGTTCAGGGTTTCGGGATTCGGGTTTAGGGTTTGAGCTTCTAGCTTTAGGATTAAGGGTTCCTTCAAGGGGGTGCTGTAACACGATGCAGAGGAGTTTCCTTTAAAGAGGCCCTCTAAAGAGATGCTTTAGAAGGATCCTTGAAGGGGTTCCTGTTGAGGGTTCCAAGGTTCCTTCATGGGGTTTAGGATTTCGGGTGTAGGGCTTGGGGCTTCAAGGGCTCCTTTGAGAATTCCGATAGGTATAGGGCTTTAGAGGGATTTCCCAGCGTTTTTTGTTGAAGATTTCAAGGGGTCTTTGAAGGGTTCCTCTTGGCGTTCCTGTGTGGGTTAGCATTTAACAACCTGTACTTAGTCTTGTTCCGGTTCCTCTTGCGGTGGAGGGGCATTGCTTCATTCAGGGGAGAGCCTAAAACCTAAACCCTAAACCCTAAACCCTAAACCCTAAACCCTAAACCCTAAACCCTAAACCCTGGACCCAAAACCCTAGAATCCACACCGAATAATGACTCCGAAGCGCCTCGGCTCTGTAGGTCCTTTTAGGGTTTCATCTCAAGGTTTGGGTTTAATGTTTAGGGTCTGGGGTTTAGGGTTTAGGGTCCATTTCGGAGTTCGTAGAAGCTTACCCTGAGTAGGGATAGAGGCTTACGCCCTTAGCCACTACCGGTAGGCCCTAACTTCCGAATTTAATTCGAATATACTGAGAAACCAAAGCCCTTGAACGTCACGGAACCCTGACAGCACCCGGTCATGCCCTCAGAGAGCGAGCCCTTTTAAGGAACCCATGCTGGACCCCACACCCAAAGCCTACACACCAAACCCGCAACCCCAAACTCCAATGGTCCAAACCCTCCAGCGCTAAACTCCAAACCCCGAATCCTGAACCCAAACCCTCAAGCCTTAAACCCTAAACCCCTCAACCCTAAACCCTCAACCCCAAACCCTCAATCCTAAACCCCTCAAGCCCCAAACCCTCAAGCCCCCTAAAGCCTCAACCGCACGAAGCCTGGGCTGAGAGGGCCGCCTCTGACGTAAAGTCATTAAGTTAAGGTTTCCCGTGATGGCTCCTCTGAGGAATCTAAAGCCAACCTCCAAGTCTTCTTGAAGTCTAGGGTTTAGTGTTTAGGGTTTCCCCCCCCCGCCCCATGTCGATTGCAGTGGAAGTTGGACTGCTTAGTGGAAAGAGAGTCACTGTGCAAGCCGGCTTCGATGAAGAGGTGGCAGCATTGAGCCGTCGAGCAGAGACCGCTCTCGGAGTCGGAAGAGGGCGGCTGCTAGACTCTTTGTCATAGTGAGGCAAGATTTTATTTTTTAATGGTTACACAAGTTCAAAAAGCAATAAAGGTTAAACATGTTCAAGTTTAAAGAATACTATCCCAATCTTGAGCCAGGACTCAGTTGGAAGACTTGTGGTTGCCTGCACCGCCATGAAGACAGCTGGGTTGCAGAATGGTGACATGCTGACCCTGCACATAAACCGAATTCAAGTTCCAGCTAGCCGTGATGCCTTTGCCGCAATTCTTGGTGATGGATCCGTGGTGACCTGGGGTTGTCGTCATGCCGGTGGCGACAGTAGTGCCGTGCAGGATCAGTTGAAGAATGTGCATCAGATCGAAGCCAGTCACGGTGCCTTTGCGGCTATTCTTGGCGATGAAACCATAGTTGCTTGGGGTGATCCTGCTCGTGGTGGTGACAGTACGGCTGTGCAGGACCAGCTACAGAATGTGAAGCAGATCCAAGCCTGTGACTTCTCTTTTGCTGCAATTCTTGGTGACGGCTCTGTCGTGACCTGGGGAGATGTTCGCGCAGGTGGTGACAGCACTGCTGTGCGGCATCAGTTGAAGAACGTGCAGCAGATCCAAGCCTCTCAGCGTGGTTTTGCTGCCGTTCTCGGCGACGGGTCTGTTGTGACGTGGGGTGATGCTGGCCACGGTAATGACAGCAGTACTGTACAGGATCAGCTGAAGAATGTGAAGCAGATCCAAGCCTCAGCACGCGCTTTCGCTGCAATTCTTTCCGATGGGTCTGTAGTGACCTGGGGTGATCGTCGCTATGGCGGCGATAGCAGTGCTGTGCAGACTCAACTGCAGAACGTGCAGCAGATCCAAGCCACTCTCTTCGCTTTTGCAGCTATTCTTGGTGATGGATCTGTTGTGACCTGGGGTGGTGCTCGCCGTGGTGGTGACAGTAGTTCTGTGCAGCATCAACTGAAGGATGTGCAGCAGATCCAAGCCACTCAGTGCGCTTTTGCGGCGATTCTTGGCGACGGATCCGTCGTGACCTGGGGTTCGGATTATTGTGGTGGTGACGGTACGGCTGTGCAGTGTCAATTGAAGAACGTGCAGCAGATCCAAGCCAACGACTTCGCTTTTGCCGCTATTCTTGGTGATGGTTCGGTCACGACCTGGGGACTTGACGACTTTGGTGGTGAAAGTAGTGCTGTGCAGGATCAGCTGAAGAACGTGCAGCAGATCCAAGCCTCCAGCGGTGCGTTTGCTGCCATTCTTGGCGATGGATCGGTCGTGACTTGGGGTGATGCCGGCAGTGGTGGTGACAGTAGCACAGTGCAGGATCAGCTGAAGAAGGTGCAAGAGGCCTAGTTTCTGAGTCCATGGTGCCGGAATAGGGTTTTTGGTTTAGGGTGTAGGGGATGGAGGCACCGCAGAGCACAAGATGATGGCAGCTCCTGCAAAGACGGGCATTGAAGCGCTGACGAGGGCTCGGCAACACATGCGCTCAAGCTTTGTGTAAGGTTTATGCGAAGGTTTGCGGTTAACGTCTGAGGTGCTCGCTAAACCCTGGACCCCTCGACCCTAAACCCTTTAATTATGAGTTTGGGCTGTAGGCTTTGCAATTTGGGTTTTGTTTGAAGGTGAGTAACTCCGACGCAACATGGGGTCGATCAGCCTTTCAACCAGGATCTTATTTTTTCAGTTTTAGGTTTCAGAATTTTTTGAGGTTGTATATGGTTTTGTGAGGGTTTCCATGAGGTTTTACATCGCCAGTCTGGGGGTTTCTAGGGCTTGATCGAGAGCTCATTGCTCGTAAACTCGCCGAAGAATGGGGCACCTGAAACATCCTTATGACCATGATCGCGGCCTTCACGAACTTGATGCTTCGCCGGCTAATGAAAAGAAATCTAGTCTTGGCTGTATCTGTGATGGTTACTGAGTTTATCATCAGTGTTACCATTGTGTTGAAATCCGGAACCTAAACCCTAAGCCCGAGGCCTTAAACCCTAACCTTAAACTCTACACCCCGGAGCCCTATGCCCTACGCCCTAAGCCCTTCAAGAAGTGATGTGCCAGGACAAGGTGCCGCCCTTCCCCACCGAGGAGGCCATGCGAATTCTCGCTGCGGAGCTGGGTGAGGACGCGCATGTGATATAGAAGCTTAAGAGTTCGTTTTCGGTTTAGGGTTGAAGGTTTAGGGGCTTGGGGTTGGGGTTCCTCTAAAAATACATTATTAAAGGCTTGCTAGAAGAGTTCTATGAGGGTTTAGGGTCTAGGGTTCAGAAGAGAAGCCGGGAAAATTACCCACATTACTCCTTAGGGTTCCTTGTCATTAAAGTGACAGTATAGCATTAACCCAAACCCCAGTCTAGTTGTTAAGGCTTCTCTATATTATGAGCAGCGCGGGTGTTGTCCTAAAGCCTTAACCCTAAACCCTA